GCCCCCGCCCAGCCTCCGCGTCCCGCGGGAAGGGGTTGCTGCGCCGCTGCCGCGAGCCGGTGGGGCAGCTGGGCAGGGGCTGGCGGTTCGCCGTTCTGCAGCAAGGAGACCGGCCGCAGATGGAAAGTTAAGAAGGGTCTTAAGGTAGGGCTGGCACCGACAGCGACTCAGCAGGAATTCTGGCCTTTGCTCCCTCCCACAGGTCACCAGACTCCATGGCTGTGTCTAGACTTCAGCAGACGGTTTCTAATAAAGCCACGTGCAGTCCAGGTCTGAAAGCAAGGAGATCACCCCACGTTGCCTACATGTTGCAAAATGTACTGTACCCTACGTATTTGGAGATGGCATTGCTGACAGTGTTCCTGCCCCCTCCCCTCCATGGGCGTGGATAGCTTTGGAAATCGTCCACGCCGAGCGGCTCCGGCAATACTGAATGGATGCGTAGTATGGTTAGCAGCTGTAGATGGTGCAAATGATACAATGAAAAGAACTCTTAGTAACTGAGTATTTGTTAGCAAGCACTGTGCAAAATGCCTTATATGCAGCCTCTGTAATTCTCATAACAACCCAGTGAGATGGGTACTATTCTCCACTTTCATTGATTGAGAAAACTGAGACTTCGATGATTTAAACACTTCGCTTGAGTGCAGTAGTAACCTGCACAAGTAGGATTCAAAATACTGCAGAATATATCCTCTCACCTAGCACACGGGACTCATCCAGGGATCTTGTTATAATGTAGATTCTGACCCAGTAGGCCTGGGGTGGGCCTGAGGATCTGCATTTCTAACAAGCTCCCAGGTGGTGCCCATGCTGCTGGTCAAAGTTGGGGACTTGAAGTAAGTTTCTTCTTTCCTGCCAGCTCTAGGTGATAGACAGCAACTTCCTGAAGGCGGGTTAAGAAGGGTTCTAAGGCTGTTTCTTGGCTCCTGGGCAAAGAATGCTGCCATTCATCAGCCATATCAATCTGGTTGATGGAAGGAAGTTTGTAACAAGTGTGCCAGACGGCCATTCCTGCAGGAGGCCATCTCTGAAATAACATGTTTGCTACTGGGGTGGTTATGCTGTAATATTTAAGGACGGATATCCTCACTCCAGTCCTCACCTTTATTAAGAAAACCCTAAGTCAAAGTTTTACACCTAACATTTGTATAACACGAAACAGTTTACAAAGCACTCACATGAGTAATTTTGTCTGCCTTCATAACAACACGGGAAGGCAAGTGTAATTTAACTTTACAGGGAAAGAAACCAAGATAGAGTGATGTTCTTGAGATCACACAGTCAATAAGCATGTAATGGGGGCTGAGTGTGTGTCAGATCTCTAGCTCAGGGCTGTTTTTATTAGACCACTGTATTAGTTTCCTACTGCTGCTATAACAAATCACCACAAATTTAGTAGCCTAATACAACACAAATTTATTATTCTATAGTTTTCAAGGTCCAAAGTCTGAAAATACGCCTTATAGGGCTAAAATCAAAGGGTCGTCAGGGCTATGCATTCCTTCTAGAGGCTCTGAGGGGAGAGTCTCTTCCTTCCTTTTCTCTTCCAGCTCCTAGAGGCAGTCTGCATTTCTTAGCTTGTGACTACATCACTCAGAACTCTATTTCTGTCCTCTGCTCTGACTCTGACCGCCTACATCCCTCTTATAAAGACTCTTGTGATTACATTGGGTCAACCCAGATAATCCAGAACAATCTCCCCATCTCAGAATGCTTAGTTTGTTCACATCTGCAAAGACTCTTCAGCGTTACAAGGTAAAATATTCCTAGGTCCCAGAGATTAGGATGTAGATATTTCACGAGGGTCATTATGTCCACCAAAACTTCACTTAGTACTTATCCTATAGTTTCTGCTATGTTTGACTCATCCTACTCTTCTGCTTGACTTCTCACACTGCTGGGAAGTTCTTTCAATGGAAAAATTCACTTGAAAGTCATTCAAGAGACAATATCAAGTAGGTATAGGCAAGAAATACCCCAAGGTCATGACAAAGCCATGACAATGCCCAGTATTGTGGTCATGAAAAAGACATGTAGGATTAGGAGATGCTTATTGGTCTGAATGGCAGTGAGATAATCCTTACGGGAAATCCTAACCACAGGTAAAGTCTCACTTTAGCAATAGAGAAATTTTTAAAGATTCTGCTTCTCAAAGGTGCATGATTAATAAGGCAATTCAAAACTCGTACAAAAAACAGCAAATTCCAAAACTATCAGAGTGATGGTACACATTAAACTAGTACGTCAAGCAAAGCCAATATATATTATTGAACACCTCAAGGAACTTATAGAAAGACCCTGACATACACAAGTTTAACATTTCACTGGGGACACAGAATTTATGGAGAATGAAAATAAGAAAGGATTTCAGCAGAAGAAACAATAGGAGAAGCAACGTGAGATGGTACATGATTAATTGCCAAGTGAATTAGACAAAGTGAAAGTTTTATTTGGAAGTTAGGTTTATGCAGAGAAGTGGAGATAAAACTGGAAATGTAGGTTGGAAGGTTGTGTTGTGAAGGATCTTAAATGTCAGGCTATGGGGATGATACTCAATCCGCAATAATAACAATGATAATAATAATGCCTTGTGTTCACATAGTGCCCAGTAATTTACCAAGGGCTTTTTCAGTCATTTGACTTCTTCCCCTCTCCCCCAGAGAAGCCGGCCAATGTGCTCACAAACAAACACAGGCACACCTCACACAGCATGGAGAAGGAAATGCCAGCTTCTTACTAAAGAGATGTTCTCAACCACTCGATAGAGAATAGCAGCTCCCTCCCCTCTTACCTGCCGTTTTTCTATCCTCCTTCCCCTGCTTTATGTTTTTCCATCAGACTTCCTACTGCATCCTGATAAGAGTATATCGTGGTTTTCTGTCTACTGTCTATGAGGGCAAGGACTTTGTCTCTTGTTCACTGTTGAATCCCTATCATCTAAAATAGTGTGCACTATTTATGAAGGGCTCAGTAAGTTGAATGAATCATTATCCCCGATTTAGAAATCAGGAATCAAAACCCCAGGTGTTTAAGTAACATTTGTGACGAATGAAGTAACATATAAATGCCTCAAGACTGAAGTCTAGTGTCCAGCCTGATGCTTTTCTGACAATCTGTTCCCTTCTGAGAGAACACTCTTCCTGGTGTTTAAACGGGGGCAGCACTGTATTTTAAAAATATAAGATTTTGACACTAGAATCTTCTGTAAATGTCACATCTTTCCTATAAACGTCATCAGTTTAGCTGGATTGGCAAGAAGCATTGGTGGGATTGAGTCCCCAACGGGAGGTTCTGGAGGACTGCCACCAGTGCTGCACCAGTTGGCACTGAGTAATGCTGTAAGCTGTTTTGTAATTGTTCTCCAGTTAAGTCATGTGCCCATGTCTTGACACTTTGTATTACAGGCTTTTGGGCTCAGGGACTATAACTTCTACTTCTTGTATATCCACACATTCTGCTCAGTACTGGACTCTCAATAGATTTTATCACTGCATGGTTACAAGATGGCTTCCATTTCTTTAAAAATCATATCCTTACAAAACCACATTTAAGACAGTGTAGGGGATCCAATTATGCCACCATAAAATACGCCACTTTGGCATAAGGATTATTTTGAACTGGAGGCAACTGAGAATCAACAAATGCAAGAAGCAGCTTTCTTGGAGTTTCCCTTATCTGACTAAAAGCAGAAACTTCTGAGAAATGAGGATTACCCTAAATCCCCTCTCCTGGGGAAGTTTTGTGATCATGAAGAAGACGGAAAGTCAGCACCAAGATAGGTCTGCAAACAAACCTTATTAAAATAATTCTTATCTTCCATTAGGTTTCCCCTATATATTTGCCTTCCCACAGTTCGCTGCCCCTAAAAGCCTAAACTCCTTTTTCCTTTGTCTTATCATTTCTATACAAGTTTATTTTTCTTTGTGAAGATGCTGTGTAAGCCCAAGTTCTAACCGCCCCTTTGAGTTACTCATCACTGAGTTTCTTCGGCATCCATGCCTGCTGTACGTGTCAATAAACTTTCTTTTTCTCTTGTTAATCTGTATTTTGGCTGTCAGCAGAGCCCCAGTTAGAGAACCTAGGAGGAGAGAGGAATGAGATGTTTTTCTCTCTCCTCTATAACAGAAGAAAAGAATTCCAGTGGAAAAGGGAATCTCTTTTTTTTATGGAAGAAAAAAATATTTGCCAGAACCCACTCTCTTATTCCCAAGCAAGTCCTTTGTCACGATTCAGTCACCAAATCACCCAAGGAGGCTGTGCAAGTGAGCTCCTGCCTAGCCAAGAGGAACAGGCTGGCTTCAGTTTTTCTAGGCTAAATGTCCTAGTGCCCCAGTCAAAACTGAGGTTCTGTTAGTAAGAGAGAAGGAAGGTAGGCTGTAGGTTCATCCCTTAGCAGTGTCTTTCACAGAGAATCAGTGTAGAAACTCACATTCAGGTACATTTGATGTCACCTGACTGCCTTTGGATTTCCGGAAGACTGGGGCAACCACATGTCAGAGTCCTACACATTTTCTTCCCTCTCTCCCTCCCTTCTCTCCTTCTCTCTCTCAATCTCTCTCTTGCCTGCCCTTCCTCTTTCTTTCATTTTCTTCTTT